TGCTTGGAGAATGTTTATACATCTTAACAATTTGTGTCCTTCTAAAGCCTAAAAACCTGTTAGAGACTAGTATTACATTTTCAGAATTTTCAGGCATCAACCCATCTTTCTACTCAGGCTGTGTATAGTTTATAATGGTTATAAAATCAGCTAAATATTTTTCATCTTTTATTACTTTGTCGTCTCCATGTCACATATTATATTGTTTCTTATGTTTGAGTCCCCACTATCAGTGATTTTTTTAACTGCTTCAGAGAAGAAATTTTTTTTCAATATTGTCAATAACTGAGACATTGTAGGTGTTTCATTTATTTATTTCATTCCACCTGACAAATTCCAGATATATGGTCATTTATCATTGCTCTCTCTGAGACATACATTGGAGCAAAGATGGGGCTCCATTATCACTGAGGACTCACTGTACTACTCAATAACAGTGAAACAAAGACGTTAATTGTTCTATTCACAAGGTATAACATCGTAGTTGACTTGACAAGATTTATTATCCTGTCCAAATATTATCCTGTGTCACCATTGTTAGATGTACTAGCTATAACCTTGTTACAAAGTAAAATACTCATAATGTTTTTACTTTAATATATTCAGTAATATAGAAATTTTTATTTTTCCTGTTCTCTTTTACGCTTTTGTTTCACTTAGAATACTCAAAAGTACTTGAAGACTTAACAATATATGGTATGGATTTTCTTTTTTGCCTGTAAACACAAACATTTGAAATTCCAAATTCATAGAAAGAAATGAAGATTCAGAGCAAATTTATCTTTATATAATTATAAATTTATAAAATAAATTTTAAATATATTTAAGAAAGTATAATAATTAAATTATAATTATCTTAAATTACACCTAACTATAATATTGAAAATATTTTTAAGGAAATTGCAAATGTCTGGTGAGTCAAGGAGTTTCTCAGAAAAATTACATTCTCTTTGGAAGAGGTAATACTATATACATATAGTTTTCAGTGATGAGTTAAGGAAGAAGACTTATTAAAGATTGTTAAGCTTTTTATTTTTTTATTAATTTTTAAGTCACAGGCCTCTTTAATAGTCTTATGAAAGAGATAGATCTACAAGAAATGCATGTAGACACAAGCGCAGTATTTGCAAATGATTTCAGCTTCTTTATGGTTTCATCAAAGATCATCCATACCATTAAAATAAGTATGCATCACAAAATATGGAAAATGAAAAGAGAGTAATTAATTTGTATAATATTTAATACTTTACACTAGAAAATTGTAATAAATTATAGACTTTTAAAATCATATTTATTTTTCTCATCTTTCATGCTCTAATCAGAGGCCCTGTTGAGTTTAGATGAAATGATTTCATAAGTATGATTTTAAATTAACCTGTAAAAAAGTTCTAGTTTTATATTTTCTTAATTGTAATGTTGAATTGATATTTGATATATAGACATTTACTTGATTAAAATGCCAGAGTTTAAAAATAACTGAAAAAAAAGTGGCTCTGAAGAAAATGGATTTAAGTTCAATAAATATTTTTTAGGTTATGTAACTATCTGCTTTTTTAAACAGCACAATTTATTCAACATCAGTCAGCATTCATCTTTTGGAAGGCATAGTAAATAATTCAAGCTTAAAGAAATTTTGTATAAAATTATATTGTTAATTGTACCTTAGAGGTAGAGAAGAATTGCTTATACTGTCACTTTATCTGAAGTTATTGCTGAAACAGCTTATAGCAAACATCCTTCTTTTTTGAGTATATTGTATCTGATGACTATATGTTCATTCAAAGACTAAATGCAATTGCATGATAATTACATTTGTTGTAGAAAATAAGAGGGTTTTTTTTTTACTCTGGTATGTGACAGTTTTGAAATTAAAAATACATTAAAACCCAGAAGTCCTCCAATTTTTAAATTCTCTTTATAAAGAAATAGCAACTGGCATTTTAAAAATTTTGTTAGTTTACAATGCTATCAACATTCAGGATACTCCTAAAATGTGAATTTAATGCTAGGATTTTTGGGAGAATTGGAAGATATTTCATATTTTAATTATGCTATTGGCTTTAAAAGTCAATACAAAAATTTTAAATGATTATTAGTAATCATTCTTTTAAAGTAAGATATTTGAGCTCTATTGGCTGTGGCTCATTTTAATTATATTGGGATACTCGACAGGTAATGAGATTCCAAGAATTCAATTCAGTTTTATCATTACTAAGTAGCTATTATTCTGTATAAATCATGTACATTAATAATCATGTCATCTGGTTCAAACTTGTGATAAATATTTTATTTTAATTCTTATATTTGTTTTTCTTCTTTAGATATATGCTCCAATAATTCACAAATAATGTCATTTCATTTCACAATAAATGGTTTAAAAATAAAATGCAAGTAAGCAAACTCTATAAAAAGTTGTAAGAACTCTCCAAATTCACACTGAAGCTTCTTCATTGATGTCTATGAAAAAAACTTTTACTGAAACATGGTAACTTATATAAAGTCATTTCAGAATACACACTAATCTACAAACCATAAGGAAATAATGGGAACTACTAAAAAATGTAAATTTTATGTAATTATCTGATCTTTTGATATGAGTAATAAATGATAAGCTATTTGCATTTTGCTTCTATTCTTGAAATCTGAGAGCAAGCAGTGAAGACAGCATGGCAACTACATTTTTGCTGTCCAGTCAAGGGAGTCTACTCATGGTTTTGAGTCAAAATTTGGGGATTTTCTTTCTTACACTAAAAGATGTCAACTTTCACTCCTTTAAGAATAAAGATGGTATATTAATCATTTTGGGAAGGTCAAAGTGAAGTCATTTAAAACCATTTTAGGATTCCTTTTAGCTAGGCTACCACTGTCTCCTTATGATTTAGTTTTGAGTTTTGCAAAATAAAGATTTAGGTGCAGCCATGTCATATTTAGAAACACAAGGTGTTGTCTTGGCAGGCTAAAATCAGAACTGTTTGCTTCAGGCCAGTAGTTCTTGGGAAATAATCTTTTCAGTGTCAAGCTAACTGTCTTCCCTAGGAATTTCATGATACTAAAAGCGAAGGTTACAAAGCTCTGGGCTAACCAATGTGAAAATTTTTCTTAAAATTAATATCACTTAGTAGAATATTAAGCTTATACAATTTAAATCTGCTTTTATCACAAGTAGAGATGGCTTTGAGCTACTTCAAGTTTTTAAGTGTAGAGCGCAGCTGATTACATACAGTTCATTTAACTTCCTCAAAGCTCAAAGCAAATGACTGAGCAAGTGTCCAGAGGCACCCACAAACAGGTAGAAGACAGAGAAGAGATATTTATCCATTTTCTTGTATTGTATATGACTTTCTGCAAATATCTCATATTTCTAAATAACTTTCCATTTCTAATTAATCTCAAGTAGCCTTTTACTTTTTAGTACTCCTTCTGAATCATTTAATATTGTCAAGTATTTAATAAATTTCTGAACTACTTTTCTCAAAATCTCCATAGAGCCATCTTTTAATCATACAGTCATCATTTCCTGTCTCTGAGATCAACATTTCCACAGCAAGTGTTCATCATTGCTTAATTCACAGAACTGTGATGTCAGGGATTGATATTGTCTATCACATTTGCTGAATTTAAACAAAGCTAAACATCTAACAATTTTATGCTAAAAGTATAATTAAAACATTTACCCATGCATTTCAAACTATGTATTTATCTCTTGTGCTATTAGTCTGTACTTGAACACACAATAAAAGCTACATATTTCCTTAATTTTTATAATTGGTGTCAGTGTCTTTTATCAAGGATGATAGGCCTTTTTTAATCATTGCACTGGAAAAATTTGCCAGCAAGTTTCTTTCTAAACTCCTTGTAAGAGATGAAATAATCAGCCAAGTTAAGTCACATATATCAATATTTATACTATCCTTTTAAGTCATTAGGCCCTCTTGGCAGAAGCTCCAATACTTTGATCACACACAAACAGGTCTTGTTCCATAAATATATTTATATACATAACTTAAAAATAAGTCTTAGCACTGGTTACAGAAGTTGAATAGTCCAGGAAATTGTCAAAAGATAAGTTGTAAAAAAGAAACATAGGTCTCATACAACACAGGTGTATGTTTTGAAGAGTTTATTCTGCACTCTTGGCTCTTTTTTCCCCTTCATTTGTAAAAATGTCTAAATTAACGGCCTGCTTTTGAAGCTAAGCTGCTTCTGATGGATTCTGACTTAAAATAACTTGTACTTTATTGAAGCCTATAATTTTCCCATCTAAACAGTCACACTTGCTACTCAAGAGATTAATAAAGACTTAAATGCAATTCAGTTCCTTACAAATTATAAATCAAAGGGCTAAAAATTTTATATCATATTTTCAAAGCATAGAAATTTCATATATGTGGTCAGACAGAGCCACCAGAAATAGAAATCCAATCTTTTCTCTTAGTCCTTTCTAAAACTGGAAAATATTCATGAAATGCTACAGGTAGAAATTAATGATTTAATAAGAGTGCCTCAACAAAGCAGGTGCTTATCAATTAAAATAGTTTTTAGGTGACTGCTGTTAGCTAAGGATTTTAAGTGGGTGTGTGCATGCATGTTAAGCATGTGCATATATGCGTGATGTGTTTAGTATGCATATTTGTTTTCTCTATATATGTACATGCAACAACCAGTTGATTAAATGGAAAGCATATTTTCACAATTAAATCTGATTTCACATTGTCATTTTTTAATGGAACGAAAATATTTCATATCAGGTGAAGAATCAGCAGGGTACTTATATTTTGTTACTAACATTTGTGTTCCCCATTTTGTGTGATTTGAGTCGTGTTCATCTTTAAATTAACAGGTGCTAGCATTGTATATTCTGCATTTTGTTTATTAGTCATGTGTTACTTCTAAATTTTCATTTAATTGAAATCATATCAAAATAATTGAAATCTTAAACCATTCAGTTCCTAAAAGGTGCTTCACCTGTGTTAATAGGCTTCCATTGTGTGTTTTTGCAGCAAGCTTAGTAGTGGAGGAGCGAACAAGACAGATGAAAATGAAAGTGCATCGATTTAAGCAGACAACAGGGTCTGGTTCTAGTCAAGAACTTGATCGCGAGCAATATTCCAAGGTAAAACTAGTAGTATCCAACCAATAGTTTCCCTTTTAAAAATGTACAGTGTATATATATATAGCAGGTAGGACTAGCAAGCACCAGGTTCTGTGAGAGAAGTTATCATTCACGTAATGGTCTTGCATCATAACCTCCTCCTTTTGATATTTTCACAAGATATATAACTTTGTTAAAATGTTACTTATTAACTTGGATTTGATGTTTTTTCTAAAAAGAAAATGTAAATACTTGATATTATTAAAGTTACTCAATGATTTATTGTCAATAGTCAAATTCATGTAAATAAGCAAGACATAAAGCCATATTATTGCTTAAATTGCATTTAAAATATTAAGATGTAGATTCATGGTCTTAAGTATTATTTTAGATTGATGTTTACTATTGAGATTTATTAGTGAATGACATAAGTTGTGCAACGTGGGATTTCTCATTGATCCGTCTTTAGTAAGAAAAGTAAATGATAGCAAATTCTTAGAAACTGAAACTCACCCAAATTCAAGTGCCATTAAAACATTTAATTTATATTTCAGCATCATTTTGTAAGGATGCACTAGGAATTTATAAACTGCTAACTAGCACCTAATAATTTTAATTAAAACATGCATAGAATTGTATACCTCGTGAAGCAATTCTAAATATATTATCTGGTTTATTTAAAAATTCTTTTTTTTTTAAATAACTACAAAAGTGGCACCAGCCATTACAGAACAACCTGTGTTATAATTTCGTGTCAAGAAGCCATTTTGGAAGTAATGACTCTTTAGAAATTAAAAATAAAAAAAAAACTACTACATCAACATTATTAATTTGAAATATGACTGTAGAAAAGCCTACTGATTTTTAAATGTTAGAGGTTGATCTCAGTCAGATATTCAGAGATTAATGCAAGAAAATCAACTGGTTACAAAATATGACTTGTCATCAGACTCCAATAGAGTCCTGTGTATCGGATGCAGTTTATCACTTTACTTACATTTTAGGTTAGCTGCAGGAGGATTTCCAGCTGAGATGTGATTAAGTGAGGCTCAATATCCTAGGAGTCTGAAACAACACTTTAAACTCTAAAATTGTTAAAACAAAACAGTAAGCAGAATATCTAGATGTTCCATAGAGTTGCTGATTCTACTCCACAAGTCTTCCCTGCGGTTCATTCTTAATTATTTTCACTTAGCTCATTTGTTTGTCTTCTTTATGAATATCATCATCATCTTTATTTTCTTCTACTACAAATGCGGTAGAGATTGGAAGACAGGATGAGTTACGTTTTCTGCTTCCACAGTTGGATGAAGTTATTTAGAAAAGTTCTTAAAACTGGAAATGCTTCATTGTAGTTGGATATGCCTCATTGATGTCTTAGCATCATGTTAAAGGATAAGGTCAAATAGAACATCAAGTTGGAGTTAGGGCCAGTATGCGAAGCAAGAAAGAGGTAAACAATCAAGGTAACACTGAAAAGCTTTCTGGATCTTTCTGAACTAGGACTCTAATCATTAATCAATTGATCAAAAAAAATCTAAAAATGAAGTGCCCTGGAAAGTCTAAACAACCACTGATACTTAATATTCATGATAAATCAAAAGTAGGTTTATCTTGGTTGGGAGAATCCAAGTTCTCTGATTTCGTAGAAATTTAGAACTGCATGAACTTGATCTTCTATTCCAGATCTCTTATTTACCCAGTTTATGAAAACTGAGGGCTAACCAAGAATTAGTAAAGCCTTTCTGTGGAGTGATGAGCCCTAGGACTCCTTATCTGAAACTTAGGTACTACTGTTCTGTGTCTTGCATCATTGAAATGTACGCATCATTCCAGTTGGATTCAGAAGTTCTTCTAGGGCTTTTAATTTGCATGCAATTAAACCATCATATTTTGCCTTTGCTCCCTCCTTTGCACAAGCATCCCTTTTCTTTTTCTCTCACTAACTTTCCTTTTGAAAAAACACAAACTGCTTCAGGATCCCTGAAATGTGATACCATGCTATTTTTTACATTCCCTAGTGATGAGGTGAAATTCATAATTGGAGGGTGAGTTAGGCACTCACATTTTAAAAAGTAAGTGTTTGTGTTTCTATAGCCCAGGAACAGCAACCAAGACTAATGTGATGGTTTTGTAGGTAGCTCTTAAGTGTTTATTATTACTTATTTTTAAAAATAGCTGCCCTAGAATTAGAGCCTCCCTTCACATCAATGACTTATTTCCCTGCTGTGTGATTAGTATAAATTCTTCCTATGGATATTATTTCTAAAAACATAGTTAATGTGTTTCCATTAAAATATTTAATTGGTAAATAGGAAATGTAACAAATTATGCCTGATTAAAAGTCAAAGTGATGATTTAAATTTCCAGCAGATTTTGAAAATAAGTAAATATAATAGTAAAAGGTGATATAAAAGTCTTTCATTTCATTCAAATAACTAAATGCAAAGAAAACTGATCTTGTGTGAGAATGATGGATTGTTCTTTAGCCCAAAATAAAAAAATTTAAAATGATCTATAGTTATTTAAGATCCATTGTCTTATCACTTTGCTGAAATAGCAGGAGTCTATATACAAAAAATGTTGAAGAGATAGCTTACAGAAAAGAAAGATTTCTTTAGGAGAAAGTTCCATATATACTCACAGACCCTTATGCTGTAGTCTACACTGCCATATTATGGGCATTTGCCAAATAAGGGGAACATTTGTTCTGGGTTCAATACGATGTCAAAAAATCTCCTACTGCCGTGTATGGGTTTTTTGGTATTAGAACCCAATTCTTTCATATTCTCTCTTGGACAAGCTATCATTTCAGTATATTTGGAAACAACATAATAATTACATGATATATATACCTAGCAAAATCATTTCCAAGACAGGAAATATAGGAGTTGTGTTTGTATCCCACTACCAGTATTAAATTCAGATCCTGCTGTCAGCATTTTTATTTACCACATCTACTCTGTAAATAAAAAAATAGTTCTGATTTAAATGAATCATGTCAGGATCATGTTAATCAGTTGTAACAGAATTTGATGATGAAACATTTCCACATTAATTTAAAATGCACCTTATCGTAAATCATATTAATGTTAGAGCATACATCAAGTTGTATAAATAGCTAAATTCTGGACATATATGAATATTTTCTTGGATTATAATTTGACATATGGCATTCAAAAACAAGTCATACAATTATGAAAAAATTCTTGAGAAAGATAATTTCATCGATATTCTATAATTCAAAATTGTTTTCATGCTTGACGTGAAAATTCTTGCTCAGTACATACACATGAGAGGTGAAGAATTAAAACTAACATGTAAATATCTCATGCCTGAACTATTCTTATCTGAGAAAATTTTAAATGAACATGATAATCTTTTCTAACATTTTTTAAAGGTAGTATTGTTTTAAACTTCTTTTTGTATATACAGATCCAAGATTTTAGCATCATTTTATTTAGTGTACTTTAGCAAGACAATTAATTATACAAATTTTTATAAACAGAATGGATTATTTTAGGTTCATTAAAAGTCATTTGATATGGAACATCAGAGATTGGATGAGCTTTTCTACAACTTTAATAAACATTTGACATTTTCACACTTTAATGCATAAATGTAAAATTAAATTACTTAATAAACAACTTAAATACCCAGTGTTTAGTCGTGTATTCCTTTTAGTTATGTGTTCTTTTGTTAATAAGCTGTATTATCTTAAATTACAGTACCAAAAATAAGAGAATCACTGAGTATATTAGGTATTTCAAAATTGTATACAATTAAGGTTAAGTGGTTATAATGTAACTATTTATTATAATAAAAACACATATATATAAAGTAATAATATATAAAGCCATTTGTGGTGTGACCCACTGCAGTAAGAGTCAAGTAGAAAGAAGAGTTTATTAACTGCTCTGACAACTTTGCCTGTTTTAATCTTTTACCTAATGATTTCTAAAATCTTCAGTAATGAATACCAAAGACAAATTTAAAAATACAACATACAGTGTAAATTCAAATTTTAATAGGAATTCTTTTTTTTTTTTTTTTTTTTTACTTTTGATCCTGAGCTGATAGTTTAAATCTGAAAATCTCTAATTAATTATAGTGGAAAGTCAAAGTCCAGTCTTTACCTCCATGGCTCCTCTCCTTGTTGGCACATCCCCTCAGCTTTTGGCACTGCCCTTCTTTGTGAAGAGATACAGTTTTTGAAGTAATTTGAAACAATGTGATGTCTAAAAATAGGGAAAATGTGTAGGTAAATTGAATAGTTTGGGAAAGAATCAAAACTACAGACAGATAGAAGCAGTCTATACCATGCTTGAGTAGAGGTGAATAAAATGGGTAATAATGAAAACTAGAGCAAGAATAGAGTAACCGGTACACTAGAAAAAAGTACATAATACAATTTTGAGGTTTCAAGTATATGCCAATAATTTATTCAGTGAAATTTCCACCCAAGCATTTAAAGTTTTTGTTTGATTTCTAATTCAGCCTTCATAAGCCATTTTATTTATTTATTTATTTTTACCACTGAAGATGTAGGATTTTTGTACTGAAAATCATATATTACATTAATATTTGGATTATTTTAAATTCCACACCTACTTTCATGAAGGTCCAGTTTTACTTGGTGTGGGCTAAGTAGTCATTAACCTCACCGTGTATGTCTCTTTTCCCACAACCTGATGATGGAGCTCACACTTTCTTGTTTTTAATCTTTAGTATAACATACATAAAGATCAGTACAGAAGCTGTGATAACGTCTCTGCCAAATCATCAGATAGTGATGTCAGTGATGTGTCCGCCATTTCCCGAACCAGCAGTGCCTCACGCCTCAGCAGCACAAGCTTTATGTCAGAGCAATCTGAGCACCCCAGGGGTAGAATCAGGTGAGTTGGCAATACTCTCTATATAAACCAGGTTTGTATCGAGGGGATAAAAATGCAACTAGCTTTCTTAATGTTCTTGCTAAAATACAGTTTAGGTCAAGTGACAGAAACATTTCACTAATATCATTGGGACTGGAGTGGGTGGAACATTTATTCGCTGTTGTATAATATCGCCTATAGACTGTTTGGTACTGTCTAGCTTATAACCATAGTCATAATTTTAAAGATTGCTTAGAGTCACATTTACAGGACTTTCTTATTTTTTTAAGTTTATTTATTTATTTTGAGGGAAAGAAAGAGGGAGAGCGCGAGAGCATGAGCAGGGGAGGGTCAAAGAGAGAGGGAGAGAGAGAATCTTAGGCAGGCTCCACTCTGAGCATGAGGCTCAAAAACAGACAAACCATTGAAATCATGACCTCAGCCAAAATCAAGAGTCAGATGCTTAACCAACTGAAGCCACTCAAAGGCCCCTACAGGAGTTTTTTCTAATATGATTAAATCCACAGAGCATCCTTTAGTCCAGGGCCAGAAATCCTTTCCTGTAAAGGGCCAGATAGTAAATATTTTAGGCCATGTAGGACAGTTTCTGTTGCATTTACTTTATGATGTCATTGTAGTGTGAAAGCTGTGCAAGCAAATGAGCATGGGTATATGCTAATAAAATTTTATTTATAAAAACAAGAAGCGGGCTACATTTTGCCCATGGGCCATAGTTTGCTGATCACTTCTTTAGTCCCGTAGTAGTTGATCTGCTTTCAGAGTAGGATTGACCAGATGTGATACAAAATATACATCCCTAGTTTCCATTACATGAGTTGTAACAAATTTGCATGAGGTTTGTTTAAATCTCCAATTGTGCTTTTGTCTCCTACAATGAAAATACCCTGCTGTGAAAGGGAAAAGACTATAGGAATTCAAGTGCCATCTTATGTAAAGCAGACTCATTATGGGCAAGGCGTATTTTATATTTCTTCTTAACTAGTTTCCAGAATTAGAAGTTTCGCTGAGGGAATTTGGGGCTTGATGAATGGCCCAAGAGACATAAATGTTCAGAATAGGAGAAATTACCTTCTAATACTCTGAAAATCTATTGTCACACAGTTTGATGATATGAAATAAAATATGTTCAAGGATTTCTTCTTCCCAGGTTTCCCTATACCTAGCTCATCTGCTGAAGCAAATCGAGAGTAATTATCTTACTGTTAATTAACAGTGTCATATTCTGATCATCTACATGAGCAATTTCAACTGATGAAGATGTTAATAGAACATGCTTTATCTCTATTTATGATTCTTAGCATCTGGTCCTAATGGAATATGACATTCTCTACAATTTAAGATAGAATTAAAAGGGCTAAAAGACATAACCGCATTGAGCTGCTTAGGGTCAAGAGGTAAAAATTATTCTAATAGATTCCTTTCAATTGAAATATTAAGATATTATGTTTCACAACATATTCAAGTTAGCAAAAGTATTGGTAAGTAGGACTTGAACAAGGACTTTTTCACATTTAATCATTAAAAACAACTTAGTGAATAATTATAAAGCCATAAGTCTTGAAGTAATTTGTATTTATATTCACAATAGAAGTAAGTACCTTGAGTGAGTCCTGTGCTATAGAGTATTACTGCTTAATAGAATCCATATTACTAGTCAATTGCAGGAATAATTTGTGGGCCCACTTTTATTCTCTTGAAATTTCAGGAGAATAGTATCCTTCAAACCTTGGTGTTTAGGAAAAAGTTGACTGTGATTTTTGAGGAAGAAAGCAAAGAACAGAAACTAGGTAGTGAAACAAGGGACTATGATTTCATACAAAGGGGTTCAGAAGGAACTACATGGTAGGATATTGGAACCAGTGTTCTTTGTGGAAAAATGCCAGTTTAACAAATCAACACTGATTATATCAAGATAGTAAACAAAAGATAGAGGATTCTTGTATGTCTCCTTGAGTCATACAGATTTTCTTACTTATTGAAGATGATGTGGATAGGCATGGACCTAAGAAGGGTGCAAATAATTTCCTAGTGAGAAATCATTTTTTTCTAGGCATTTCTGTTTTCAGCTCACTTTTCCTTCTCTGAAACTTAGAACACATATAAGCTGAGAGAGTTTTTGTTTATTTTTACATATAAGTGGATTATGTAAATTTAGGCCCTAAAGCTAATGGCTAAACAAATTTCCCCTTAAGGTAATATGAAGAATTACTTTTCTTGTCGTCCCATACTTTAAGCCAGTGATTCTCTGTATGTGGTACGCATTTGATTTCTTAGAATACTCAGGAGGAGGAGAGAGGAAATCTAAGATATGGGTAGCTCTTTATTCTGACATTCAGTCTAATTATCTTTTCTTATACATTCTTCTCCCCACATATCTTCATAGTCTCACAAGTACACACACCTGCATACACACACACACACACACACACACACACACACACACACACACACACACATTTTGCATCCATCATCAACCATGTGGTAAAATCTTGAGAAGAGGTTTTGGAATGAAAAAAAAAAAAGAACAGAATGATAGCAATATAGAAATGCTGTGTCTCACTGATTAGAATAATGGCTGCAGGCTCTTCGGCCTTTAAATATTCCCTACTGTCATAACTAACATTGTGAGGCATGATTGTTCTCAGTATAATACTGTTTCTATTTCTTTTCTTTTTTTTTTTTAACTAACATCTGCTTAGGTTTTAAAATTCTATTTATTCAGGTTCATGGATAAAAGGTGAACAAGTTTGATCAATTATGATGATAGAATGTATTTATATGTCATAATAAGTAGCAGCAAACTTTTGAATTCCTATCATGCATAAAGACACCATTATTTTCCAACACTACCTTAAAGTATAATGCCTTGCTACATCCTCAAGGGGATTATAATCTATTTAATAGTTTAAATTCATTTTTTCAATTTAAAAAAAATGTATATTTATTTATTTTGACAGTGAAAGAGAGAGAATGTGCATGAGCAGGGGTGGGGGATAGAGACAGAGAGAGAGAGAGAGAGAGAGAGAGAGAATCCCAAGCAGGCTCCACACTGTCGGTGCAGAGCCAGATTCGGGACCTGATCTCACGAACCATGAGATCATGACCTGAGCTAAAATCAGGGGTCAGATGCTTAACCAACCAAACCACCCAGATGCCTCTAAATCTATTTTTATAGACTTATTCCATGTATATTATATATTATATGTGGAATATATGTATAGTAAGATTTGAATATATATTCCATAGGAAATTTTGAATATATAGATTCCATATTTGTATAATATCATATATACCATTTCATACAATATCACATAATGAATCCTATGTATTCAAATTTTCCTATAACACAATAAATGTTTAATTATATGATGTGTTTATTATACAATATGTAATTTATTATATGATACTATACAATTATATGAATAAAACTGGATGAGTTTCATTCTGAAAGTCAACACAAGGATTGAGAAGAAATTATAGCACTTCCAAAGACAGTATTCAATACCCTAAAAGTCAACCAAATACCTCGTATTCTCACAAAGAACTAAGAAGGAAACTATATGACATGATCTTATCCACATTATACAAATTCATAGTATGTAGGTACTTAAAATACCATGTACAGTTTGATTTCCTCTAATCAAGTATATTATAAACCAAGAAAATGTTGAAATAAGCACATGTGAAATGAACAATGGGCACAACCTTCTGTATAATTTATAGTTTTCCAAACATTCCTCACTACATTTTCCTATTTATGATTCACAGTACACATTACTGTTTTAAGGTCCTAGGAGGTTTTCTCTTGAAGCAGTTTGTCTTTGCTTAGTCCAGTATGTACTTATTCCAATATGAAACTTAACTAATTCCACAAGGCTCTTTCCCATAGAATATCAATTACCATATTGAAAAGTTCTTGTGAGCAATTTGAAAAAATCTTTTTAGTTAATTAGCATCTTTTTCTGCCTTAAAGATAAGAAGGCTATATATTTGTTTTAAAGCCTGTTTGAGGATAAATAGAATTAAGCACTTATAATAAGGATGTTTGTAGGTTGAAAAATATAAATATGTTTAGATGAACAATTTCTAAAGTATCATTTCAAAGAAAAGTAGAGATCCATGGGCCATCACTTGAGTCTTTTGTTTTTGAGATGATTATGCACCAAATATCTTACCACTCAAGTATACCACTGGCTGAACCACATGGTTCTGTGTGACTTGAGAAGGGGTATCCCTTCCCCCAGATGCATTCTGAATAGTTCATTCAAAATAGTCCAAAGTATTTCTCATGTTTTCAAAGCTTACATATGCAGTGGAACTATAGTAGGAAAAAAATGAACTATGATGTTTGTGTTTAGGGTAAATAGCCTTGTGTTCATATAATGAGTGACATTATTATTTTTTTAATTCTCAAGAATTAAAACAATTTAAAACTTAAATAATTGTTAGTGTGATTCTTACAATACAAAATCAACACTTAATACTTTAAAATAGCAAGCATCAATAAAGATTGAGGTTCCTAGTTTTTCAGATATTTCTTGATATACCTTATAATTTTAATTTAGTATTTGCTTACGTATTCCTCAAAGAATGTTTTCCCATCCAACCACAAAATATGCACAGTATCTTGGTAGAGGTGACACAATTGACAATAAAAAATGCACATATAGTAGAAGCCAGAAAGAATATGTTGAGTTTCTGAGTTTTCTGTGTTCACTTTTAAATCTGCAGAAGATGTTCATCACAGAAAGACGAATTTTCTTGGTATAGCTCTGAAATTGTTTTTCATCTTTATCATATATCAATCAGTTTTTTTTCCAGCCAGACATATTTCAGATGTTAATACAAAACCGCGCAGCAAATGCAACCATAATCCTACAGTTGTTTTCAGATGTTATAGAATTTTAGAAGCTTTGTCAAAACTATTTTCCAACAGCATTCACATTTGTAACATATGTTCTCCTGGATCTACAAAGTTAGCTTTCTAGAGCAAGCTGGAT